ACCTGGAAAGAGATGTCTGGCTGGTAGGTACCAGTTTCCACACCGTTTGAGCTTCCTTGAGGGAAAAAAAGAAAAAAAAAAGGATAGTTAAGGAGAGATTTTCAATTCAAACTTTCTCCCAAATATCCCCCTAAGAATCAGGCGTAAGTTTGGCTGCAGTTTAGACAGAGCTACTGGAGAAATTCAAGCCCCCGTGTTTCATAATGGAGGCTTTAGAGCCAGGATTAGATACTGCTAGATCTGAAAATGTGATACGAAGTACTGATTTAATATAAATGAATCCATTAATTTAAGTTAGATATCCTCTATTCATCTGCAGCCAGAACAGAATGCATATTTGGGATCTAGAAAATTTTACAGAAATACATTCAGGTGCTTTTGCCCGCAGAAGAACAAGCCTGTTCTTTGTCACTGCACAGGTAACACACTGCTTTAATATCACCCAAAATTAGGCACCATACAAGAGCCTGTGTACTGCCTAGAGAATGGAGCAACACTTCCAATTCAGGAGTAAGGACCAAGAGAGGAAAGAAAGACTGTTATTTGCAACTGTACAGGAAAAGAAACACAAGAGGTACTGAATGGTGAGAGCAATGAGTGTATCACTAGAAGTATGAAATCAATCTTAATTCTACAAAGACATAAGATACAAACTAACTCCCTATCATGGCAGTTACTCAGTTTTTATAGAAACAAACAGCAAGGTGTGAATATACAGAATAATTAATCCTGGTATTTATAAACATGAGGTTCTCCACTGCCTGGAAAACTCGCTGCTTTTAATCCTACTTTAAAAGGAGCACTTACCTAGAATTCACATAGGAGACCTTGCCGAGGTCTCTCCAAGCCCTATTCCAAGGTAGGCTTTCTGCAGAGAGTTAAAGCTGGTTTTCGTGGTAATTCTTCTGTTCATGTATCATCCACATTGATTTGGCTTTTTGCAGAATGAAATCAGAGAGCCAACAGAGACGGGGCAGAAGCAAAGGCAGCCAAATTCAAGTCCATGCTCAGACTGTCTCAAAACTTCAGTGCCAGCGAAGCAATCCCAGATATCACAAACTGACCCAAGAATATTCAGCTTGGTTCTTCTAATTGCTTTAACAATAGAAATCAATGTTTAAAACTCTAAAGTATAAAGGAAACAGAATAAGATTGATATTAAAGCTACAACTGCAGAATTATAGGAGCCAGAAAGTGGATCAACGAAAGCAGAACGGGGCATATTCAATACCACCATTAGTTAATACTTGCCCCTAGAAGGAACATTGGTTATTTTTTTTAATATATTTTTTCATAAGATCTAGGCAACGTCACCAGTATCTTCAGACCATATCTCCATTTTATCATGGATTATGTGCCCTAGTTGTTTCTCATTCTCAAACAAGACATTAGCCTTCCAGTGGACCTTACCTGCACCAAACTGGAATTTTACAATCCATTTTCTGCTTTCTTACTAGGATGGCTTGGTTTGCAGTTATAAAAGTGCACTTAGAGAACATCCATAGCGCCAATCAATAAACAAACACAGTATTGCATTTCACATTACAAGAGAGCTTTCTCAATTGATCTGAAGAAAAAAAAAAATAAACGAAGCCTCGTAACTTGACGAGGTTCAATGGCAGCAGAACACCTTCCAGGCACTGGTCCTCACACCGCGGTTGCAGTCATATTTAGCAACAGAACAGCCATCCATGACTGACAGGTTTCTCTGACAGAAAGAGCCAGTCAATATTTACATTCCTCATGAACATAAAAAAAAAGCATCAGGGTACTTGAGAAATTAGGCCTTGATTGCCACTTGGAAGGCATCATCAGAAAGTCAAATCACTTCAGCACCTCCAACAACAGAACTGCTTTCATTCTTGAGACTCAAGATCTCTCACAGATGTGTCAAGGTCTTTTGCCTGGGAGCGGGAGATGTCTGAAGGGCATAATGGGTGCTGAAAAAAGCACGCTATGAGGGTTTTATTATTTAAAATGTCAAAAGATAATGAAAGCGTTTGGCCAACTCTTGCTCTCTTTCTTGCTGAAGTAGCAGACAGAAATCCAATAGTTATAAATGTCCGCTCCCAGGCTCCTGAGCAAGCTCCAGGGAATACTGGTAGGACTCCTCAGTGCAGAATAGGGGGCTCTGCTGTAATATTAAGTGATCACTGAAGGTGGGGGGGGGGATGCAGATGCAGTAGTTCAATTCGGCTCTCAAGTTCCCCAAATGTCACCACATAGAACAGCCCTAAATCTTGGCTCAGAAGTCACAAAACATCCAGTGCCTTTTCCAAGTGAGATCTCAGCTCCTCTCATTTCCTGCATACAATAGCATTATTCAGCCACTGAAGTTTCCACTTAGCTTGCATTTATGCCAAGTACTTTTAATTGCAAAGGAAAAGGATGTTAAGCTCTCCCATTTGTTTTTTTCTAATTCATAAGGGACAGAGCAGCGGCTGGTAAAAGTTATAGGTTAAGGTTTGTTCTCCCCTCTGCCATCTCACTTATTAAGGGGCTCGCATCCTCCTCCTGCTGCCTCACAAACAGAGGTTACCTGCCTTGCGAGGGTAGGAAGATTTATGTTGTCATTTGTAAAACACCAAAAAGGCAAGTCATAGTAAACTTACAAGCAAACAAGCTTCAGGGAAGTCTGAATGGTTTCTAAACCCTTGAAGGTACCCATTATAACTGATGGTCAGAGTCACCTTCACCAACACAGGTCTCGTGTAAGAATGGCTTTGCCAGTATTCACCCAACACACGTACGAAAACCCAGACAGCATCCAACTCCAAGAACTTATCAGAACAGACACAGAGCAGCAGCTTTGACTGAAGCAAAATGCTGCACAGCAAAGAGTGAAATAACTGGGAAAACAGATGCTTAATTTCTACTTATTTTTGGCAACGTTGTTTCTATGATATCTGTTAGATGAGGGGAAAAAAAGTTGCTGAATGCTGCTTATGAAGCACAGCCACATCTATGGACTATCAGGGTGGCACTCAGCACAGCCCTACTGAAAGTAATTTTTCTTTTGATCAATCCATAGAAGGGTCTAAACTAACGTTTCCATATGGGTTTTGTTCCTGTTATGCAAGATCTGGTGAACTACATGCCTGAGACAAAGGGATTAAGTGAAGTCAAGTGGTGGTTTTGGGCTTGGCAGTGTTTAAAGAGGTGTCTTCACCCCACCTCTTCAGCCTTGGGACAAGAGACTTAGATGAGCTAATTACTATGCAAATGAACTGAAATGTAAATTAAATGCTACATCCTAACATAGCTTAATAGCCCCAGGAGCACAAATTCAGTTAACTTTAATGGACGGTAATTCTATCCAAAAATATAGTTTATTAACAAGCATATACAATAAATTGCACCACTAACTTTAAATAAAACATCTAGCAAGCTCACCTTCACACTAACTGACACGTGGTTAATACAGAGCAAAAAAGCAATACACAGGTGCTTTCAACAGACATAGAACGAACTCGGTTGCAATCGAAGTTCAAGTTGTAATCCAAAGGAGGACACATAAAAGCAAAAGCAATGAAGACTTCACATGAACCTTGCCATTTCTTTCCAACAGACCTTTGGTCTCTTACAAAATAGGTCTGTGATACAAAAAGTTATAAAAACTCTGGATTCAATTTACCCAGCCTCCTCCATCACAAGTTAACTATAACATTTTGCAACAACGTGAGTAGTATTAAGAGGGAGGTAAGAGGCAAAGATACGTTAAATTCAGCTGCAGACAGAAAGGCTGCCGGGCAGCAGACGTGGACTTCAGCATCATTGTCCCAGTTTTTGCAAGAAACACAAATATGGTAAAACACATTCTTTTTCTCTCATCAATTAAAACTTGATCCAAGCTCCACTGACATCCAGGCAAAAGTTCTTCTGTTATCAGTGGTACCCTGATGGGGTCTGCAGTGGCCTTCAAAGTCATCCTCTCTAGTGAAAGGTTTGTCACTCCCCAGTCTTCAACTTGGCTGTGATGTCAGTAAAACCTGACACGCTGTTACCACATGGGTGTTCCCTTCATGCCAGAAAAAGGGATTCAGCAGAATTTGATATATAAGAATTGAAGCCAACTTGGCAATAAACAGCTCCGCTCCGCTCAGTGTAAGATCTTAACCTCACCGCAACGAAGTAAATAGAAGGTTTGTAATGAACTTCAGTGAGAGCCCAAGAGAAATATCAGGCCAAAAGAAAAAAAAAGAAACCCACAATTCTTGATATTAGATCTTGTTCTTTGCAGAGGAAAGGACATTTGTATTTCTGATCCTCCAGGGGAGTAACAGGAAGGATCTTGTTCTTTGCAGAGGAAAGGACATTTATATTTCTGATCCTCCAGGAGAGTAACAGGAAGGTTCCCAAGAAGAGTGCTCCAAATCTAACAGTGTCCACAGTAAAACCACTTTGGTATATTTAAGTGAAGCCAGAGATTCCTGTTTTCTTTGTGTTGTATCTATAAGCACTAGGGTCCCACTTCTATTAACAAGGTGCCTGTTATCACAGCATCCACAAAAATTATGCCTGTGCTCCCTAATCACATTAGGAGTTAATCTTTACTCAGAAAAACTCTTGAGCAATATCAACGGGTTAAAGCCTTATTCTCTCATTTCTCTCCTGCACCTTTCCCTTTATAACGCCTAGAAAAAAACCACAGAAACTTTGTCCTGCTCCCCCCCTAAGCGAAATGTTAAGATCTACTTTTATGACAAAAAAACCTTGAAAAATGGTCATCTTTTTTCAACTGGTGGAACCAGACTTTTTTTGCAGTTTAAGGAAAATTTAGCTCAATGTGAACTAACCCGAAGAGCAAGTAATCAAAAATTACCTAGAAATATATGCATTAAAAAGAAGTCCAAGTATTGTGACACCTCCTATTGAAAAACAAGTGATGCACAGTTCAATCAGCAACAAGCACCCTCTCTCCTCTGGAACTCGCACAGCTGGCTCCCATGTTCACTGGTTATGAAATACTCTTACAGTAGAACAACTTTAGAAAAATTTGGACAAGTGAGAATGGAGTTATTTTAATCTAGAACAATATCACCCAAAGATACAGATGAATACAAACACTGTTCGTATAAAAAAAAACATCAGAGAAACATGAATTTAAGCTGCATTTTCAGTCTATATATTGGCTTCCCTCTTCCTCGTTTTACAAAAATAGGGTATGACATTTCAGCTTCAATTGCGTGTTTAAGTCATTTATTCATTGAACATTCCATTCTTGAAATATCATCTATTAAAATGTTAGTTAAGATTCATCCTGCTTATGGAACAGACTAAATTTCTTCTGAACTGCACTTGTAGACAATAATAAAGAGATTGATAAGAACTCAATAAAAATAATTAGATTATGGGAAGAAGAAAGAAAATAAAAAATAAATAATAATACAAAACTCAAGCTCCACTCTTACCATCAGACTCTTAATAAAACAAATGTCAATGTCTTTAGCTGATCAAGAGAATTAACCCCAAAACAACTTTTACAGCTTGAATTCAGAAATAAACTGTGTTTTGAAGTCTGTAAGTTGCTATAAAAAGAGGACAAAAGCTTCCAACAAAACATCTCCTTCAAAGACAGAGGAAGCCACAGTAAAAATAATACTGAAAATTCCTGATCAGAGTATTGTATCAAAATATCACTATTTGTAACACTACCATAGTTTTCTTATCCATTAAAAAAATGGATTCTGTACTACACTCACACATTTCTGATATAGGTGTAATTGTACCTGGACAATTTACATCTCAACTGCCTAGTACTGAAGAGAAAGAAAAAAAGCTGACGATTCATTTTGCTGCTTCAGCTACAAACCCCGCTGGGTGGGAAGGCCTGTTGGGGATACCAACATTGAAAAAAAAAAAATAATAATAAAAAAAAAAAATCAGTGAAATGACAGAAACCCAATAGTATAAAGCCTGCTTGGACATGGCTCTTTCCCCTACTGCAAAGCAGATTTAATAAATGGGATTTATTTTAGAAAGTTTCACAATTCTTAAACAGTAGATGATACTTGCATTCCTGAAGGATTAAGTTCTACATTTCTTGATGCTAATTCAACTCTCTAAAACCAACCCGATAAAACCAGCAAAGGTTTTACAAGTAACATGCACAACCTAAAAATTCTACCGTCAAAAACTGCCTTTTTGGTACTCTCTTAAGCTCTTAAGATACTCTATTTATTGAAGAAATGCCAGGAAGCCTGCAGTGGGAACAACTGCTTCTTTGGCAAAAGGAAAACATTTTAATGCCTCCTCCCTTCAAAGTATGCACACCTCACCACAACATATGTTAATATACTACCAAATAAGTCTCTTTATCTTGCCATTTTTATAACAAACTGTTTCATTCATATTTATTTCAGCTTGTAACTACCTACTGCACAGAGTAGCACACTGTGCTAAATCAACAAGTAGCTTATACCCAAGAAATAGAAAGTAAAAAAAAAAAAAAGAACACATCGTATTAAAAAATAATTATATATTCCAAAAACAAGTCAAGTGGGGCTAATTTTGTATATATTTTTGTATATATTATATATTCAGGGTAAAATTAAAATTTAAGTTGTGCAGACATTTTGGGCCTTTTTTTTCTACCCTTTGTCCTTTACTTAAAATTAACAAGGTCTAACAAAAAAAAGATTCCCACAAATATGATAGTGAGTGAAAATTTGTGCTAAATCTGCCATTAATATACGAAAACAAATGTTAGAGCCCTTCTGTGAAGATCTCTATGTATGCATATATACCTGTAAGAAGGAGACACACAGACCTCCCCCCGGCATTTCCAGCCTTCTCCGAGGTTAACACAGTCCACTGACACACGTTCACAAATCAGCCAAATGCTGAATCTAGAAAAAGATGAAAACCAAGTCTTTGCAGACCTCTGGTCTGCAATTGTAAAAATATAAAATAAATATAGATAAATATTTACTATCATATTAGTAGGGTGTTTTGGTTTTTTCAAGTGAAATTTGTACTTAAAAGTTACCTTCTTCCTGAAGAACTCAAAGAAGCAAAAGGGGAAGTGTTTTTGAAAATAAAAAAACTCAAGCAGTGAAAATAAAGAAAACACACCCTCAAACAGGCTGGAGCAAGACCCCTCACTGCAGCCATCAGTACCAGCCTTCCTTACTGAAACAGCATCTTTAATCTCCAGACATCCTAGTTACTCCAATTAAATCACTGTGCCTCCTAATGATACCAGAAAGAAATATCTGCTTTTAATATGTGGATTTAAATAGCACAGTTAACTGTCCAAGACCTGGTATGTAACTGGGATAACTCTGCTAGGGAAAATATTATGAGGGGGAGAAAATAAAGCTAAATTCCATGGGAAAGTCACTGGGATCCTCTATGGTTTCTGTAGGTTAGATTTATATACCTGAATCCAGCTGTAGAGGGGATGAGGATAGGCAGTGGGGTAATATGTAAAACCTGGTTTGCCATAACTGGACCTTTTCATTTTTATGAAATCTGCCTCGAATGATGCAAGGGCTGAACCTGAAGACACCCACATCTGAAAAACACTGGAAATCCTGAAGTCAGAGCTTGCGAATTTGTTTGGTTTGTACGCTGTCTTGGAGGAGAGAGAAGTTAATACTTTTAAAAGCTTGGTATTTACACTTCCGAGAAGTTTCTGCAGTTCATCCCAATTCGATAGGGCAGGATTTAAGTGCCTCTTAGTGTTCCCAACTGGGCACTTCTGCTGCTTTGGCACAGGCGCACACACACAGTATTCCAGTACCAACGGGATACAACGTCGAATGCAGCTTTAAACTGGCAGCACTCCTGAGTAGTTTTAAATGTTTATCAACTCAGTAGGTCAAAAGTCTGCAGACACTGGGTGGAGCAGCAGTATGCCACAAAACTAACAGTTGTCCTCCTAGAAGAAAAAATAAAAAAGGGGGTGGGTGGGTAGCGGGGGGAGGGAGGGAAACAGTTGTCAGTAAAGATTAAAGCTCCTGGCCCCGTTCCACAGCAGACAATATGCGGGATTGTAAAAGACAGGATTAGCAGATCCCAACACTTGAGAAGAAAGAAGGCTCATTTGCTCTATGTAAGTGGCTGACACAAAGGCAGGGAAACACTGCAGGGGTTCTCAAAAACCTTGCTGGTTTCTTATGTGCTGGGTTGAAAGCAGCAGCATGTGGTTTTTCTCTCTGCGGAGGGTGCGGCTGGGTGTTATAGCCAGTAGGTTTAACAGCTAGAAGGGAAATAGCTGGGTAATTCTCTGCTTCACCTTTGCCCGTGTGTTTCTTAAGTTACTGCTTGTAGGCATGAAATAACTCAAGTCCAGTGTCCTCCTTTGGTTCGGCCGAGTGAACAAACTGGGCCCCCATCTTCAGAAAGGCCCATGGAGGGGCAGTGCTGTCACACTGTGCCAGGGAGGACAGCAGGGGTGGCAAGATGAAAGCGTGATACTAGCCTCACCGTGCTCAGGGTGACCCTCCTCCTGCCCCTGCCATGGCAGGGACCTACATAGCTGCTTTCAAAACGTTAAGATCTGGTTTTCACTAACCCAGAAATCACACTTTTCCCGGTGCTCGTGTCATCTGTGCTTTTTCAGATACAAAATCCAGTTCAACACCTCACTATCCTTTCCTATCAGAGGATACAGAATGGGAGGCAGAAGTTCAGACAGAAGTTACTGGCATGGATGTGGCATGTGCTAATCAGTGCTGTTCAGAGGCTCCGGATCCCTGCCCCGTGTGCTTTATTGGTCACTGTAAGCTCTTTAGAACACAAACCCTGTCCTTCACATCCTTCCAAACCAGCTATCACACCTCTACAATTCCACATAATCTTACCATGTCAAGTGCAAGAGCTACAGAGATCAGGATGACAGGCTGCCCTGTTTAGATCTCATTTTCTGGGGATTCACATCAAATGTCAGCTACTTAAGACTGTATTTATTATGGCATTTTGCAGATCACAGTACATTCTTAAGGCAGGGAATGCTAACCATTTTTTGCATGCAGAAATAAATATTTTCAATTAACGTATTTTAGAATATTAATATAGTGTTCTTGCAAAATAGCCTTCAAGTATGTTTATGGGTCGTAACTTTAATAATTCCTAAAGGTGTTTACTTACATGTGTATCATCTCATAACTTTAAGTTCCACAATGAGCAACACTTAGCAATTAGAAAGTAGAGCTCTCTACTCTAGTCCAAACTCTCCCATTGCTGGATTGTAACAGATAATATAAGGATTTAGTGATCAGCAAGTAGTTTTCCATCTCTTTCTTAGAAAATTAAATTGTTCTAATGGAGCTCAATGCTTGAAAAAAAACTACTTTATAGCATGATTATAACATTTTATACCACCCTGAATATAATGACTGTTACATGGAAGCAATTTATTTAACTCAACATGAAATGCATTGAATTTCAACACACAGCTGAAATGTAACAGAATGGCAAGTTGAAGAATGCAATCTCTACTAGCAGATCTTTCCAAGAAAGATGACTTTTCCAAAATAGCATTTATGCTGCCTTCTGGCTGCTGTCCAGATCTGGCATACCTAAGTTGTTTTCATTTCTTAACATTGAATTGCTTACAAATCAGATACCTCTTATGCCACAAACTCACAGGAAAATAACCTGTGGTACAACTGTGGATAACAGGTACCATCAACCTGAATCAGCAGTTAGTGTCCTCTTTTTTCTTAGTTAAGTCCCTATTGAAAAGCAGTTTCTTATTTTTATGGAAGATAACTACCAAGTCAATGGATTTCAGCAGGACAAGAACTAATTGGCATTCTTGTGCATTTTATACCAACAAGTAATTTCAGAAACTTCAGAAATTTCAAGTAATTTCCTTTTTAAAGCACCTTTCTTTTCTGCTCCCCACCTTTAAGCAGATGCTTTGTAACTAATGGCTTGACGTGAATTCTCTACAAAGAACCTGAGCATCACATATGCTTAACTCCAAGTGACTTTTCTTTAAACCTTATTTATTAAGTTTCAAACAGTACTGTAGTTTTGTCCAAGTAGAACCATTTTAAGTTTCTCTGATGATACTTTTCCATTGCAGAAAGTGGATTTGTGATATTATGGCTCATGGTGTGACACAGTGTCAGATCAGACTAACATGGATTAGGGAAAAATGATCAGTGCTCATCTTAAAGATAATATAAATCTTTATCTACATGAGGGCAATATTCCCTGAACCATATCCCAGTTTTGAGTCCCTTCTATGACTGTATGTCCAGCAAGTCAGGAAGTCTGTGTAGGCTTGTCTACTTGACTTATCAATCCTGTAGACACACTCACATCTGCTACAGCCATAAAAAGTGAAATATTTTTAAAAAGATGCATTTCTATGAAACTTGTGTTACAATGCAGAATGTTCCCATGTCATATCCTAATTTAATTAGTGTGGAAATTAAAACAAGAATATTTTACTGCAGAACATTTTAATGTTCTTTGGCTTTGCAGCTTTTTTCTGCCTTTAATCCTACAGCACTTTTATTTGGTGGTGGCATTTTCCTGAAGCTGGGGTTGAGACCATCAGGGGAAGATATTGGTGTTCGGTGATGCTTCCCTCCCAAGGCCCAGAGCGCCATGCACGTGCTGGACCATCACAAACAAGCAAATCCCATCACATCAGAACCCTTCACTATCTTAACAGCAGTCTGAAACAGGCCAGTGTGATAGCCCTTGTTAAACAGTCTAACAGCAGAATGCTGGTTGTCTTGCAAATAAAAGATTTACAACTTTTATATGCAATCACAGAACAGGGGCTTTAGATCTGAAAGGCTGCTAAGTTAAAAAAAAATAAAATTCCTTAAGACCATGCTTTGTTCCATAAGGTGTTTTTCTTCCTAAATGAAACCCCAGTGTAATTTCCTGTATAATTACCCTTGATGCAATCCTGCCATTGGAGTTTCCCTCAAGGGAAAGAGCTTTGGGTAGACAATGGTAAACATAGGCTGGCTGCAGCGGTGGCAGTGTCCCAAGGGACAGTGCAGCAATTCCAACAGGCTTTTGGGTAGTGAGATTGGAGTCAGAAAGTTCAAATCTAGAGAAGAAAAGAAACAAAAAAAAGCTTGTAACAAAACAATTGCATGATCAAGTCAAACACAGCAAGCATGATCCGTGAACAATTAAGCAAATCAGCTGTCAAACATTCTTAAGACTTTGTGAAAAGAACAGCAAGGTAACACAAATTACCACAATTAGGGAGGGGAACATGGTGCTTTCCACGTATAAACTCAAAAAGTTGAAGTTAAATGTATAAATTGAGCCTCTGTTGGCATAAGATTAACTGGGTCCAAATACCCAGGTGAAAATACTATAGCTCAAGCACATAATAAAAACTTGTAATATATCATAAAGCATTTTTAGACACAAAGATGATTTAGACAAGTGTTTAATAATTAATAATGATGTAAAATTCTGAAAAGGACATCACTAGTATTTTACTAAAATATTTCAGCAACCAATCTGGCAGGATAGCTAACTAAGCTCACTAAAATAAGCCCATACTCCACCATCAGCAAAAAGGGATCTGAAGTATTTAGAATTACTTGAAATACCATCCAGCCCAGCATAATTCTCACAGGTCCAAGCAAAGAGACCACTCTAAAAAGATCAATACATTTATAATCTCTTAAGTGTGCCCCCACAGCATTCAAGATGCCATCACTTCCACCAAAAGGGACGCCAGGGTCATTTCATGGGAAAGAGCAATCATTTTCTCAGGCTTGGCCCGAGCCACGTAGTGTTTTATAAATTAAAACCAACTTGCTAATCTCCATCTAGAAACTGAGCGACAGCCAAGACAGGTGAATGAGTTTAGGTGCTGAGTAATCAAGACAAGATGCAGTACCTGATAAATCAGTTTAGCGATATCACACCAGTGTCAGCTTTCAAACACTGTAAGGATTAACCCCACACACAATGTACCACAACAGCCTCAACTGAGAGGACGGGCATGACGAACAGAACGTTTGCGTCAGAAAGAAAAGGTCACATTCTGGAGCCAAGCAAAGATTGAGGAGAAGTAGTCCAGTCACTTCTGTCATGCTTACCTAGCAGCCGCCAAGTATTTAACAGCACCCTTGAAACTGCAAATTTAGGCAAGGATAGATCAAATCTGCTGCTTTAATCATACGTGCCACCTGCTTCCCCAGCACACCATTATCTTCCACCTGTCTGAACTCTGCATTGCTCCTGCCTCACTGAAATGTGGGTGTCAGCAGTGGTAATGCACGTAGTCTTTAATAAGGTCACTCAGAATGAGAATACATAGGTGTGTGCGTGTGTATGTGTATATATATAAAAATATGGAAAGCCTACACAGTGCAGTGTAGCAAACCAGAAGTAGGCAAGACTGTTAAATAATGTTTCACCATCTTCTTCAGGTTCTGCACCTTGGCTGTAACCAGATATAATCCTCACAGACTTGTATAAACCATCTACAAACCATTTCTCAAACTGATTTTGCAATGGTGTCTTGCTGTTCCTAAACCAAACTTCACCAATGTCTTCAGGAACCACATTCACAGTCCTATTCCAGAACTTATTGCGTTTCACCATCTTCTTCAGGTTCTGCACCTTGGCTGTAACCAGATATAATCCTCACAGACTTGTATAAACCATCTACAAACCATTTCTCAAACTGATTTTGCAATGGTGTCTTGCTGTTCCCAAACCAAACTTCACCAATGTCTTCAGGAACCACATTCACAGAGTCCTATTCCAGAACTTACTGTGCAAGTCACAACTGGGTGAGAAAAGTAGTTACTGATGATCATGTACCTTATGTTCTCAAACTCCTTTTCAAAGACTAGAATTTTGCAAAGCAAAACAAAAACAGCATCCATCATTGTGCGATTTTGGTGATACTGTACAACTAAAAACCTCCCTTTTTCCCTCCATGTGCAAAAATATAAAAAATACACAATCTCAAACCGGTCAATTAATGTGTTCTCTGCACCAGTAAATACATTCTCCACAAAGTTGTTTACTATGAACACAGGCTTGAATGTTTATCCCACCCCTCAACATGAAGCCTCTTCCCTTCAGTGTATTCGCTGCTGAGCTCCTCATACACTGTTCCTGGCAAAGCAGTAGTTCAGCAGTTCCCATTTCCTCCAGAGCCCATGGCACAGGTGACCCCTTACCAAAACCCTCTAATTTTCCCATTGTAACTCTCTACCCTTCTGCTTTCTGCTTTCACCTCTAAACCCGACAAATTCCCAAGATGCCGTGAATAGGGAAGAGTCACAACCCATCTAAATCTGGCAAAATCTGATTCTGCAGGTTCTCATCGGATATTGCTAACTCATGTGACTGCACGATGCATAACCAGATGAGCCAAAGGCCACTTTACAAGCAAAGAGCCTGAATTGGGGCAGAACTAAAACAGCTCAGCTGTCACGTTGTACTGAAATGGCCAAGGGCTGCTCGCATTTCTTTTGCCTTATGTAGAACAGCTCTGCCAGTTTAGGAGTGTGCTGCCTGGCAAGAAGTTGCATTGCTGGCTGATGCATCTCATCTTGCCTCAGGAACTGTATTTCTCATCTCCTATTTCCATTAAAGAGTTGCTCCTACAAAAAGCGTCCTTCTTTATACTGTCCTCAAGAAAGAAACTATTTGTAAGCACCACTAGACCTTCGAAATAGTCTTTTTTTTTATATTGTACTTTTTTGTTCTAATACAACCTTTCAAATGTAATTTGATTAAATAAAACATTTAAAATATTAATCCTTGCCCAGCTCTTTGAAGAGCTATTTGAAACGTTCCTATCACTGCCAGAAAAGCACTTCCACTCTCCCTGTAATCTGAAGAATGCAGAAATATCATACCTTTTAAAAACCTGTAGTAGGTGTTATAGAGGGTCCTCATGGCCAGTTCTTGCAAAGGCAGCACATGATCTGTTTCTGTCCCTATAGATTTCACCTCTGCTGGCAGGAACACCGTTAACTGGCCCGATGAGAAAGAAAGCAGTTTCACCTCTGAAACTTGAATCGGAGAACCACAACTAGAAGGACACAAGACATTTATGAAGTGGTTAGGAAAAGGAAGGACACAAGACATTTATGAAGTGGTTAGAAAAAAAAACAAACAACCAAACAATAAAAGTAACTTTATGGGGGAAACCCAGATGACCAACCCAAAGTATCCTGTTCTTCAGCACAGCACCCTTCAAGGATTCCTTGCAGAGTGCAATACATGTTGGGGGTGGACTGGATGACCTTGGGTCCCCTCCAACCCAAGCTATTCTATGATTTTATGTTGACACACATTTTCTATAGATTCCCACCTTCTGTGACGTGCTAGTCATGGGAGAGCGGGAGGTCCTTACTTATCAAGTAACATTCAAAAGCTGGAGAACTGAGAACACAATCCCAAGGAGGTGAAGCAAGTGCACTTTGTGGCCCTTACTTTGCCAACGTGCTAATCTCTTTTAGCCTCAGAATGCTATTATTACTAAATGTTTTACATAAAGGAACAGTTTCACACCTAACAGTTGGCCTGCTGTGTCTTGGATGAACCAGTTGAAAATGGTAAAGGACTTCTCAACTATAATACTTGAGGCAAAAGGAACAGTTTCACACCTAACAGTTGGCCTCCTGTGTCTTGGATGAACCAGCTGAAAATGGTAAAGGATTTCTCAACTATAATACTTGAGGCAGCTACAACAACCACCAAAAAAATAAAATAATTTAAGTGCCACTGGGTGATTCTGTACTACACCTTTCCTCACCCAGTTTCCTTCAAAGGTGCAGGGGGGTTAGGTGAAGGAAAAATAAAACCAGCAGCCTAAGCTGTAGTGGGAAGATACCCTAATAAGTCTACTAGCCTTGGCCTTCCCAAATCATTTAAGGAAAGAGAAGGTTATTTGGATCCAAGGAGAGAAACTTAGCTTGTAGTAAAAATAACAACTCTTTACATGATCCCTGTTGCAAGCTATCATACCAAAGAGACACACATAGGAAAATTCTACTAAGAGGTTGGGGAAGTCAACAGGGGAATCGGAATTGTTTATGACAACCTAAATTTGAAGCCAAGAGCAACTTGTTAGGGCCAGTCCTAACAAACGGAACAGAAACACAAATTCGTCAGCCTTCCCAGATATTGGACCTTAAACTGAGGTAACTACACTCAACCTTATCAGATGTGAAAGAAATCTCATAGTACTTCTCTGAGAACAAAGAATCTCATCCCTTCTGATTAAAGGAAACACAGCCCCGAGAAACAAGCGAAAAAGAGCAGCATCAAACAGCAGGTCAATAAGCCTCTTGTTAAATATTTAATACTTTCCCACAAACCATTAATGGGGTTAAAATATAATTGGGAATTCAGAGATCCAATATTCCAACAATCCACTCCCCAGCAATCCATACCCAGTGAGTTAGCTCTCACAACAAATAAATCTATAATGTCGTATTTTCAAGCTGATTAACTGCTCGCCAGCCCAGGGAGAAGTCACACCCATGAACTCACTACAGTTCCTGCAGTTCAGAGCTGGGCTATTTGGTCTACTTTATGTAAAGGGTGAGGCTATTAATGCCTGACCACAACACTGAAAAACAAAGTAAACAAGCAAAACAGACCATCAAGAGGAATAATCTAAGAGATATACACCCTTAAATCAGGATGGATTAGGGAATTAATCTCAACCTGTGGGTAATACTGTGTGTAAGAACAAAGAATTAAAAAAAAAAAACAACCACACAAAATCCATGAAGGTTAAAAAGTGGAAGAGAGGATGGTCTACCTAGCTGCAAAAAAATGGAGCTGCAGAAGAACCCTGGTGAATAAATAAGTGGGGAAAAAAAAAAAAAGTCATGACTGCCTATTGGCTGCTTTCAACAAGACTGACAGATATCTAGCAGGAGACTATGAAATCCAATCTGCAAAAAATAAGATCAAAATTTATTTTGAGTGGTGAGATCATCACCTCTTACATAAAAGACTTTTTCAGTCAGTCTGCCTGCAGGATTCCCAGACAGAGATTCATTACTTACACAATGTAATTTATATTCTATTTTCAGAAATCCAGCTTTATGTTAGTAACAGCAGGATGTCAGATTTTATTCTCCAGTGGACGACCAGACAGAGCACTAAAGCCTGGATCTTCAACTCTCGCCTGACCCAGGAAAACCTTGCATTGGTTACTAATGCTTTCTTGGAAAGAACACAGAAATTCTTCACATGACCATTATTACACAATTTTAACATCACTCAGCACATTATCAAATAAAACCTTTGGTTTCTTAATAATATACATAAGTGCTCTTCCGATGTTGAAAATTTTCCTTAAAAATCATCTGTGATGTTTCCAGATGGTTTCAGAACATAAAAACAACATCTGTTTGGTACACAAATACAAAATAAAAATATTATTTTGATTACTAAAAAAATATTCTTTATTCTTCATTATTAAGGGAAAAAAAATTTTTTTTTTATTCCACTGAAGTACTACAAGAATTAATTTTGTTGCAACACTTGCAACTGTTTTGGTCTCTTCTATACCAGATTTATAATACTCTCCATCAGAGATACTAGCAGCTAACCTCACCAGCTGCGTGTATCTAATGACAGCAAAAAGAATTGGTAATATCTTCACAAAAAGTCAGTGCAAAGATAAAATTATTTTGACTGAGTATAAAAAAAGGACTTAAAAACATTAAAAAAATATAGATATGGTTGTTGAAGATCACCTGAAATAGGCAGGACAGCTGGACCAACCCTGGTGGAACACTTCCTGCATTGTCACTAGTGGTTTTGGTCACAATCAATACAGTTCTGTTATTTTTAGGATCAATTTAATGTCTGTCATACAATTTACAATCAGTTCTGAGAGAACAAAGGCTAGAAATTATTTTTCCAGAAAAACAAAATTAGTAGAAGCTTGAGACTGCACACAGTTCAGCAGAATTATAATCCAACTACAAGTATTTAAATATCACACACCAGCTGACACAGGAATATTAGAAAAACCTTAAAATGCCAAGACTCAGCATCTCGCATATTGCAGTCGAGTGCAGGCTGTAGAGAGGGAATTTATATTTAATGCAAGATTTGCTGAGAGCGAGCATACCAGAAATTTATAATTAGATGGTAATGGAGACAATCCTCTTCTGATCAGTTTTACACCAGTAAGGCTCCATTCATCAGCGGTGCTGATCCTAATTTATGCTGGTGTCAGTACAGAAAGAATTAAGCTAGTGTCCTAGACAAACCACTTTTTTTCTCACATCCTAACCACAAACATGAGACAGGCTGGGATATTTTTAAAATCCACATGTAAAAATATACCTGCCAATCCGTAATTCCTAAAAAAAAATTACTTATTTCAGTCAGTAGGTACCAAGACTATCGAGAAGCCGATACCAGGATGTAAAATGAGTGAAGGAGCTGCATGTGACATTCCAAGGAATGGCCCATACCTTACAGAAACATGAGAACTTACAAACTAAACTTACAACACACTAAAACATGCTTTGTTCATTCTTTAGTTCTGGAAATTCTGCAAAGCCTACATTTTTGGCCCATTTTTAAATACCGGTAGGATTCAGCTTTAGGTCTTATATTATCATTACAAATTCCTTCTGAATAACCAACTGTCTCTCATGGCTTAAAACTAAAATATTGCAAGTCAGCAATTAACACAGAAGACATTACAAAAATAAAACAGAATTGGGAGCTGCAGTAGTACCCTTAAAGTAACATCAGTTCTGAATCAATCACACGCACACACAAACCAGTTTTATCACACAGGGAGAGATTTATGAGAAATTTTACAAGGAACAGGCATGCAAGACATCTGAATTAATTCATACCTACCCACTGCAACCAATGACTTTATTATACAGATACGATGGGAGGCCTTTCAGATGAATATTGTTATCCACATAAACATATTGTAGCTCCCGAGAACGACCTAAATCTGTGTTTAGAAAATAAGAAAAGTTAGAGGGAGAAGGGATGACATAGTGACAATTATAAGCAAAGCAATTCCCTTTCATTTTAAATAAGCTAATCAGACTCAATATAATCAAACATAGATTGCTACTTCTCAGTTGTAAAATTTCAGCCAATGATTTTGTTATGGATAAGCAGAAAAGTTGTTTAGAAAATAGCATTTAAAAATCATTACAACTAAACAAAACCCCTTTTCAGTAGCCCTGAAAATCCTGTTATAAATAATTAAATTTTAACGTTGACAAACTCCGAAGTCAGTTTGAAGAAGCAAAAGGACAATTGATTTCAAGTCCACAGTGCATACTTCAAGTTCATAAGGTCAAACCCGCTTTCATTAACTGCCCTCATGTCACTGAAATCACAGCTTCACTCTCTTTGCTAAAGCCCTAAAGACATAAACAAGAATGTTCTCTGTCCCACTTTTTCTTTTCTTCAAGAAGAGATACTCATTTGATTACATTAGCCATGACCAAAGACAGGCAGTAATCATTCAGAAACAAGTCTGCGTGATGTGGTAAATTACTGAACACCAGAAAATATACAAGAACTAAACTGCAAAATCTCCTGCAACAAAAGTTGTGGCTACAAGTAAATGATCAATACATCTGAAGGTGTGCTTCTTACATTATTTCTGTTAAAATATTCATGGCTGGCAGTCAAAAGAAGCAACTACAGCATGTTTAAGCAATACTTTCACAGACTAGAAATATATTAACATACCTCCAGAAAGAAGCATGTAAGTAGGGAATAATTTCATTTTGTTTAGAAAATTAAAGAGGGAAAATGGAGCAAAATTAAAGGGAAATTTTAGGCTTCTAGGAAGAATTCTCAGAAACAAGAATTTCACTTATCAGCAGGATCTCATCAGTGGGAAAAATGTCTGATACCAAAATAAGTGAAAAACACACTACTGTGAGATGCTTAAAAAGACAAACCAAACAGCGAACTAAAAAGAGAAGTCTAAAAGAGTTTTGAACTGGCAAAAAAGCCGAAATGCAGGATCATCTGGGCAGCTCATTTTATCTATAGCTTCTATGTCATTCGAGCTACTGGGTTAGGAAAAGGCATATGCATTTAATACAAAGCACAAACCAAGCAAACAATGTTTGAAAGCCTCTCTGCCTGGGAGGGGAGAGCTGCAACCCAGACAAATTGCATTATGAAAAAATAATAAAAAAATATCTGTAAGCCTCTCAACTTCTTAAACTTTTATGAGTATGTTATAGAAACTAAGCAAGATAAACAACCATTTGGCTGAATCAGCCACATTGCAAAACGATACTAATATCGACTAATTCTGACTTCCCATCCTTATCAACTGTCAATTACCTTGCTTGGCATAAAGATAAGGATGACCAGAGAAATTAGCATAACTTCTGTCCCTTTTGTAATGGTGGCCAAGAACAGAATAAAAATTAAAACAATTTCCATCATATTTCTATTCAGAAATTCCATTGGGAATAACGATCTCTCATCATTCCCTACTATGACAATCCCTCCTTTATTATCGAATGGTTTTATTGTACACGAGAGCTCTGGACACCACTTAGAGCAGATAAAGCAAATGGTATTTTGAGTGATCCCTCCCAAACGTTTGGCCATCTTAAAATATACTGAATGTCTTCAGCTGTCACCCACTTGAATGGCAGCTGTAAGCACCAGGAACCTTAAAAGCTCAGGCTGAGGAGGAGCTTCAGAGAGTGTCACATTGGCAATTCTTTGATATAAAGAACAAGTGACGATACCAATAGAAAATTAATAGATTCCTGGTCTGAAATAAAAATGTTAACATAGAATAACTGAGTTTTGGGTTAGTTGTTTTTTTTTCTTTTAATACAGGCCCTTGCCCTTATGGAGGTTTCAGGGACCTTAATCTGGGCTATGTTCAAACCAGAGTCACTGGACATCAGGGGACACGTTCAACCATCACATGCTGCTTTGACGCTGTCCCAAAGACATTCTAGTTCACAAAGTTATCTGCTGCATCCATCAACTGTCCTGCCCCAAGAAGCAAGTCCAAATATCTCTGCTGACTGATGGGCACTGCTGTGAGATGCTGCTGCGCATCGTTATGAGCTAACACCTCAAAAAGACGATTTATTTTGGCTCAGTATCGCGGGGCTGAAAATAGTTTTAGCAAAGTTCTGGGATATTTTTAGATGAAACAAAAAACAATGTTATCCTACAACGAATAAAAATATCCCAATACCGAGGCACTATAACTCCGTAAAATACTGTAAGGCTGGAAAAGAATCAGCCAATAAAAGGGAAAGCAGATAGCATGTGCGTGGCACACCTCGCGCTTCCAGAATATCGCCTGATGCTGCAAAAGCCAATTATACTAAGCAGAGCAGAAAACTATGGGTTGCTGGGGTAGCTCAAATGTGCTACTGTTTAACTTATTAATTTAGAGAATGGGAGAAAATTTTTAAAAGAGGCTCATCTTGTTCATTTCTACACAGATGTATGCAAATGGGCTGAAAATCAGGCAAGTCAAAAAAAGCCCTAAAGCTGTTCTTTTCATATGCACTGAGGGGGGAGTTATGCTGCATCTCATCTCTTCCCTCTGTCTTTATCTTATGCTATGTTTAGATTCTAAGTTCTGAGTTGACTGCATTTCCTAGGTAATTAAAGCAAATTTTTGGATGTTAGACAAAATATCTCAGTAGGAAAAATTCAATTCCCAAAGCCAAATAGCCTGTAACTATAAATGTTCCTTTGATATAGTTTCTTTGCATTAAATAACCAAGCATCTTCTAGTCCCCAAAAGATTTTTTCCAGTTCCAAACACTATCCATAAAGTTTAAATTTAAATAAATCATCACTTTAAAAAGCTCTTTGTATCCCATCCGCATTAATTTTTATGTCTTATATCAGTCAACAAATATTGTTAAAAGTTCTCTAAAAAACATGCTTCTGAAGAACTTTGTAAAATAAGGAAGCTGTCCATCTATGAAAAGGCTAAAGCTACAAAGAAGGTTTTCATGTGGCTTTTGCAAGCACTGTACTGTGTCTAAAACATTTCCACTTTCCTCCTTCCAGGCTCCCAGATCAAAGACCTTTCTCCCAGAAATGACCAAATGCCATGAGCCCCGAACAAACCCCAATTCTATTTTTTTTTTTTCTTCTTTTTCTCCCTTTTTCTTTTTTTTTTTTTTTCTAACCTCAGGGCCCTGGCATATGCATTCCACATGGCTGAAGATGGAACAAAAGCTCTTGTGTGTCTGCACTGATGCTCTTTTAACCATACTGTGAGGGCAAGGACACAAAAGCAGCATATACTGAGGTAGAATAAGACCTTTGTTTACTGTGCACTGATAATTACTAGACCCATTTTCTAAACAAAAAGTGCACATAAACCCTCAATGAAGTGATATAACACTGAATATTTGCTGTCATAACATCCCCTGTACTGCCAGTACACTTGAGAATTTATGGCCTATTTTAATTATATTTGTACTTTATTACATAAATCATTTTTATTTTTGCAATGTCATCAGATTCAAATTTCTGCTTGCAATGGAATTTGTTTTCAGGCACTGGAACATTTGCTAATGGTAAAATTTTCAAGTCAAATGTCTATCAAAGGATAATTTATACTGTAAGTAGATTGATATAAAACGATCGGTAGTTCCATCTGCCATTCAAGAACAGCATTCCTAAGACCATTTATTAGGGCAGCATGAAAGCTGCCCTGACAATAATGAGACCATCCAGGATGCAGTTTCCAGTTCAACTTAAATATACAATTTGGGTTTTTTATAAAAAAATACATTTATTAGGAAGGCCCAAAGACTTAGATCCACACAGTCTTGTTTCTTTGAATATAAAATGGAGTATTTGACAGCTGAAAAATTTTATTATTTTTTTTTAAATACTGGCATATCCAAGAATTAAGTGTATTCTGCAGAACAAATGACTAATTCAATATTGTTTACCCATATGCTTGTTTATGTACCAGTTCTGAAAGCGAGAGAGTGGGATCAGGTAGTTTTATTGTATTTTGTAAAACTGACTAATAGTGTCACACTTTTTTTTTTTCTTAAGATACGTGTGCCTGCAAACTTAGAAGAACGTACAGGACAAAAAAACTACCTAGAACCTATCCCAGCCATCAAAGTGTTGTGCTACTGCTGGAATAAATCTTACACCTATCAATCTAGGAACAGGAAAATGCAGATTTCCATTATACTTAACAAGAGGCTCTACTGGCAGCTGCAAGGGACGTGCTTCAATGAGGAAGAATGGATTCCTTGGCATAGTAGATGTCAACTACCATATGAAATAGAGTAAATCACACTTTAAAAAGCATTAAGCAATATGTTCCAAACATATTTCTTCCAACATGGACATATCTAATAAAAAAGAGAAGAAAAGAACTCCATTCTGTTAGGAGATGAAAATACCTGCTTTCCAACTCAAATTCCTGATTGAAAAAAAACTGTTTGACAATTCTTGCTTGAATATCACTTGTAGATATTTCTACAGTATCTTTCACTGTTACTTAATGTCTGTACTCAGTCATTAACTTGCAAGGTTGGATGTAAGAATACACACCCCAAAAAATAGCCAACATGTGCAGCTAGCAGAAATAACACTACAATTATGCCTTAACTTCAGTAATACTCCAAGAAAAATATTTTCCCATACAACAGAAGATAAGATTTCATCTTTTTGCTTTTCAGTGCACTAACTCTCGCTTCTACTTTATTTCATCACATCTTGACCACTCTGAGGTCTTCTGATTCTTCAGAGGAAGGATTAAACATTTACATTTATACTGTGCTGCTTTTCCTCTGAACTCTAGGATTTATGATTCAGTCCCATATCCACAGATAGCAAATTATCTCCAAATGTTCACGAGTGAGTCACTATTAAGAACTACTGAACAAGGTCAATTGACAGTCTTTGATGTTTTTCGTTATTTTAAAAGTTCCTTTTGAATGTTTTGAATTTGAGTCTAAAAATAAAGAAAAAAGAAGGTGTGTCATTATATTAGAGATTTATTTCCTCCTTTTGAACTTAAAACACTTCAGCAGATCTATGGCTCATCCAGGTCATAGCTCACATACAGATAAGCTACTAGCACAAAAGTAGCAAAAACTTCTACTCTTCAATATTTGAAATCTCATCTTACTGAATAGCATCTTATTTTCGCAAAATTGAAGAGATTCAACTTCCTGTCTCATGAAATGCAGCTAGAAATATTTGCCAAAATAGGGGAAGTTATTTTACTTGGTTTAGTTAATACTGCGGAATCTGGATGATGCATCCTGGAACTCGGTTTCTCATTTATATAATGACATATGTTGGGACATAACCAAAACACTATGTCTGGAGACATTATTTCTACGTACTTTCCACTAATACAAATTAAGGTGCTAAGAAAATCAGAAAGATCATAAACTTCTTGAAAGACTAAATTGCTAGTACTGAAAAAATTAAGTTAAACCTATACAAATGTAATTAATTTAGAAATTATTCTCTCATTCTTAGCTGCCTCAATTTTCAGCTTCTTTTCAATGTCACCTGCACCTAATTAACACCAAAGTCTGATCGTATTCTAGAAAAACCATTAATGGCTATTCAAATGACATGACAGACCTGCATGCGTGTCTGTATTTCAGCAGGGCTAAAAAGTAATGAAGGAAGGGAAGAGGACTTGCTTTTCACAAACAGAATATACAGCCTGCACTTACTGACAGGCAAATACTTCCCACCATACACTGACTGCACCTCCTACTCCTGAAGGCCTGCTCTGACACTTCCAGACTTCGAAAGAGTTGAGAGAAAAGCAGATAAATTCTTTTCTGTGCTACTACCGTGGAAGTTTTGATGGATGCTAATACCCAGCACAAACTAAGCCATTGCTAGATTATGCAGTACTGACATCCCTAATGATGAAAAAATAATTTATGTGGGGTTACTGGGATTCCACAGCAATTTTTAAGCCGTAGCTGAAGAATCTTAGTTAAATCATCAGATCCAGCAAACAGAAACAGGTCATTACCCAAACTGGTGGAACTCGGATTACATAGTACTATATTTAAATACAACATCATTTAAACTTTTTTACCCCTCAGTTAGCTAAAAATAAAGCAAATTTGATAGCTGACCTATTGCTTTAAAACAGACACGAAACCTTAACCTGCGTTTTTTTGTGTGTGTATTAACATATTTTCCAACCATATCATCACTGTGACACCTCCATAAACAGAGTTTTTAGCGACCACCAAAGAAAATCACTTGGTTTTGTTTTTTTTTTCCTTTCTGGGCCGGAAAATTTGTTTTCCTGTCTCTTTTCTGACCCACCCCCCAGCCCAATGATGGTGGTGACTCACCCAGTGGCAAAAATGCAAGGCGGTTTCCAGCCATGGAGAGCTCATTGAGGCTTGGTAGTTGGCACAGGTGGCGGGGAACATACCACAGGTGGTTTCGGTCTGCAGTCAAGTACTGCAGCGAGAGGCACATGTGCAGCCTTTCGGGTAACGTTATCAAACGATTGGTTGAAATATCCAGCGTCTGCAGCTCCCTCAGGTCTCCAACCTCTACAACCCAAACAGGCAGCATTGAGAATTATTAATGTAACTGTTTTCACAAACACCACCGCGAAAAAAAACCCACATCTCGCATAAATCGAAACCAAAGGCCATCAGTTAGCTGTGCTGTTTTCCTCTTCGTATACTGCTCTGTCAATCTGTGTTCAGAACTGATACTAATCATCTCCATCATCTTTATATTTGAAATCTTTTTTAATGAGGACAGTTATCAGTTAGGCAGTGTGTTTAAATATGAGATCTCTCAAGATAGAGCATTCCTGAATTGTGACAATTACTACTGTCAAAAATATCTAGCAGTTTCCTGGTCCTAAATTAGAACTAGGAAAAAAAAAAACCACCAAACCCCAGGCAGTGTGTTTAAATATGAGATCTCTCAAGATAGAGCATTCCTGAATTGTGACAATTACTACTGTCAAAAATATCTAGCAGTTTCCTGGTCCTAAATTAGAACTAGGAAAAAAAAACAAAACAGATTACATAGCGTGCTTGTTATTGAGGGTGTTTTGCATGACCCCAAACTCATGCAAATTAATTCTATTTTTTTTTTTTAATATTTGAGGATGCAGTGCTTATATCCATCTTACTTAAGATTTTCTTGCAATGAGACTTACAAATACATGCATAGCACTTCTTGCTTAGTGACAGTCTTTCACCAAGCATGCTTAGGAACAACAGCTCTGTCTTCATAATACAATTCAAAAGACCTAGTTCAAATTAGAAAAGAAATTTCTTAATAACCTGTAAGTTATATTATAGGAAAATATTACAGTAAGTTCTGGGCTACAGTTGCAAAAATTACAGCTTCTAGAGATTTTCTTTTTCAATGTTTTAAGAATTTTGAAAGTACACTTTCTGTTTTAAATAGTGTTGTCTGATTTTTTTTATGTGGGTAACAAATGAAGTTCTTAAAAGTCTTCAATAAGTGATCACACAAGTAGCCTCGCTTGTGCAACAGAGTGATTTTCCTTGTTTCTGGCCTATGGGACCGGGATGCACCTCTGTAAACACTGACTGACAAATATATTAAGCAGCTCTACAGGCTGTCTCATTGTTTAGTTATGCTTTTACAGTTACTCTCAAATTTGGATAATTCTATAAATTATTTTCCCCAAACATGGGAAAATTGCACACAGTTTTGCTTTGTTTTTAAATACTTTACAGCAATGAACCCAACTCATGAAGTGCTTGGTGTTCCTAATCCTTACTGAAGTTCTCAGCATCTTGCAGAACCAAATGTACTTTGCTCTTGGCTGAATGAAACCAGCTCCTGCATCTGATAGCTGCTAAAACAAGATTCACTAGAATTTTCTACACTGAAAACACCAGACAATCTACACAATCCACAATCTGCAGCTCTATCACCCGGGTTGTTTGTTGGTTTTTTTGGTTTTTTTTTAAAGGCACTTTTTTTTAAAATAAGGTAACACTGTTTAAGTTAAAGCTAAACAGAACCTATTGTGCCCTTAAGCTCTCGCTGCAGCAAGAGCTAGAAAATTTGGTATTCGCTGAGCTCTGAGGTAGCACCTTGTGTATTACACCCCAAGAAGAAAACAAAGCACTAGGTTAATTTCAAGCTGCCTTCTACACAATAGGAAAAAGAAACTGCAAATCTGAAGCTGACCTTGGGAAAACTGCTATGGTGTTTTCAAGACCAAAAATGTGAAAAGAGGAAAAAAAGAAAGGAAGTTGTAATTCAGCCTGAGAGATTTTCACAAAAGTCCTAATTAAACAAAATGCCTGTGCACATTTAAATGGCGCTTCTACCCACTGCAAACAAACCCAGCATTAGCTACAATAAAGATTCAACAACATACCATATCCATTCTTTTATAAAATATTACTGACAGAAGCAGCTGCTATACACAGATGACCACATTCTTCAAACCTCTTAGTTTTGATGTCAACTGGAATCATAAGCTTTATTTTTAGTGTTTTTTTTCTTTTTACTACAAGATTGAAAATGAACGGCAAAAGCAAAATAATCGCTACTAAATAGCAAAAGACTACTGTGCAAAAGAACTTTGGTAAAACTCACTTTTAAAGAGTTTTATATTCATCACAAACAAAGCCATATGCTTGAAAACAGTGACAGGAAAAGAGCCACCTACATTCAGCCAAACCACTGACCACATGCAGTCAATAATAGGCCTAGCTATTTTCATGCACTAACCTTTTTCTCTGCCACTAAAAACAGTTTTCTAATTCAGTTTAGGTCCAAAATCCCATAAATGTTACGGTTGGCAAAGCTGGCAGAGTTTCAAAGGCATTGCTAGAATGATATGTTTCAAATCTAAGAGGAAATAAAAGTATTCTCACTTTATCCTTCATCCAAAAAACACATACTTGCCCAAAACTTCATCCTCCCTACCTTAATCTTCCAATGCATACCAGATGTAAACATCCACTTTCAACATACAGTGCCATATGTTACAGAAACACCCACCGACCCATGATGGAAGTTAAAAAGTGAACCAAACAACTTAAAGTGCCATCAGATTAAAGGTATAGCCCCCAGACTTGCCACCATAGTGTTGAAAGCTCATTTTGAAGAACATGCTCAGACATTAAATAATGACAACAAATTGGTTTCAATCTCATTAAAGCAAAGGAAAACAATAAAGAGGAATAACACAAAATATAAACAGTCTGTTAATAAGTTTTTCAAGCTTTTACTCACTAAATACTATTATCCATGCTTTAAAAATCTTGCAACATAAATACTGGAGAATGCCTGGGCTAACAAACACAGCGAAAGCCTTACAAATCTCTCCCTTGCTATCACCTCATCAAGCACTAGGACATTTATGAGGTGGACTTGGGAAATTTCAGGCAGACTCAGAAAAGAAAATAACTATTCCCAAATAAAAAGAACTGACAAGTAAGGGGCTTTTATTCACAGATTTCCCCCCCATCCCCACCTCCAAGGATAAGAGAGACAAGCATTAATACATCACCATTGAACCACACTGAGGAGTTCCAATTACATTTAAATGAAATTCATAAATGTATAATTTAAAATTTATATTAGGTTTAGGATTAACACTATCAAAATCAACATGGCAGAGCACTGAGCCCCATTTTGATATGAGAAGCCAGAAAAAAAATTCCTCAGTAGCTTTGCTAAACCTCTAACTCAGAGAGACCCAAGTCCAAACATGAAGTTCCTGTGCCGGTTCTTGCACCCAAGTGTCCATCAGCATGGATCACTGCCTTCACTGAGAGCTGGGCAATTCCACGCCTGGGCCATATGGTACAAAGGTGTTCACGGTGTAGTACACACGAAGGGGCTGACAGACTGTAAATCCACACACCACCTTACTTCAGAGAGACTTCAACACAGGCTTATGCCCAGAGTCCTGGCCTACAGCCTTCTGAAGGTGGTTTAGTGACACAGACGTTCACATAAATACTTCAGACTGTATTCTAAAACGGCTAGCAACAAGGTAATTAATTAATCTTTTTCATTCTTGATAACAAAATTCAGAATTGATTACTGTGACTCCAAAAAGCATCCATGGTAATAGTTTTTCCAGCCACTTGGAGAAAAGGACAAGTGAACTGTCATCATACGTGTTTGGGTTTTCAAAAGAAAAACTGCCAAATAGGTTTGTCTCTCAACACAAAGAGAAAAGAAATATCAGCATTTTAAAAGAAAGTGAAACCTTGACAGAATTTCAGGAAATTTCTGAAATTATTGACCTTCTAACAAATCTGGTTGTATTTATATAAACATACCTAGCATCAGGAAAAAACAGGAAAAAAAAAAAAAAGAAATCTATTTCAGATTCAGGTGGTTTAAGTGCCAGTTTTTAAAATTAATTCCCATGGTTTTACATGAAGAAAACAAAACCCATCTGGAAGTAAGCAGCCTATACAACATATAATATTTGCCAAAGGCAATTCAAGCTTCCTTGACCTTCTAGGGGTACAGGCCTCACCAGCTGCACAACTCAAAAATACCGGTTTTCTTTACATTTCAAGAGCAATCCCACTTTTCCCTGTTGGGCCATAACCCAAAATTTCATCCGAAGATATATGAAACACATACACAATTCGATTGGAGTGTATGGAAGGCATGGATTTACTTGAAATCAAACACTATCTAAGTCCTTCCATCCAAGTAAAGGGAAGAAGGGGACAGGAAAGGGCTACAGACCTACCTGCATGAGAATGCACCTCAAAGCAGGATATTAAGAGAAAGCAGAGAACCTACAAGGAATGGAAAAAGGGACTGATCAGCACAGAGATCTGGCACTCGGAGGTCAGGCCGCAGAAGTTCAATTAAAACTGCCAGGAGGCCAGGAAAATAGGAACTCACAGACAAACAAAAGGTTTCTCAACAAGAAATAAAGAGCAAGAAATGAAGAACTGGTGTCACCATGGGGTAGAAATTAGGAGGACAGACCAAATATTAAATTAGCTTTTTGCATCATTTTTTCCTGTAAGAATAATGCTGTGTATGAGGACAGAGACAGAATACCTCATGGGAACAAGGACAAAGCACTGAAAATTACCACATCCATGAAATGAGGCTGCTTTAAAACTTTCCATCCCAGAATACTGAAAAAATGGGTTATATATCAAAATTGCAAGCTCGGGCACAAGGATCCTCAATGAATAAGACATTTTCTGGGATAGCAGCCTAGAGTTGGAGAAGAAATGTAGAACCTGTGTTCAAAAAAGCCCTGTTAACATGAACTCAGTGCTCTTCAGTATCTTAGAGCAACTGTTCTAAGGGGAAGAGCAACCAAAGGTAATCAATGACTGGAACATAAATAGAAAGCAGAATGAAAGTGCAACCCAGATCTTTCCAACTGTAAATCATGTTATACTGGCTTATCTTTCTTTGATGAAATGTCTTGGTCAGTGCTAACACGAGTATCACATCTCACGGCAAATTATTGGGATGGAGAAAACTACTAGTGGTGGTGTTCCTCAGGGGTCTACTTCATTTCCATTTTCTACCTTGGTAAAAAAAAAATACTAGG